TAAATAAATAAATAAATCTTAAAAAAAAAACTTTTGCTGCAGCGAAGTCACTGGAGACGAATCAGCTGAGCGCGTGGCTGGCAGCCGAGAGAGAGGCTCACACCCGCCGGCCCCTCTCCCTCCAGCGCCACGCCCCACTCGGCAGAGCAGCCGGGCCTCCAACCAGAGACTGACCTGACTTTTAGAGCAGGCGTACAATCAGCTCAGGCGTGCCCAAGACTGGACTGCTCCGGGGGCCGGCCCGGAGCCACGTCAGCCTTCCCTGGGGCTAGAATTCCCGCGGTTGGCTGCCAAGGCTGGGGCTGTCTCCGCTTAAAATCCTCTCTCCTCCCTCTGCAGCTCTCCTGGTCGCCTGGAAACATCCAGCGGAGGCTTTTGCCACGTCAGCACCAGATCAAGGCCTCTGACCCTGGCTCCCCCAAAGCCACCACCTCCTCCCCATTTCCTCCCACCTCCCCATGCCCTCTCGGCACAGTGGACAGAGCCATCCACTCAAGTGGAAACCAGATCAGGATGCTGCCCAGCTCTCACTGCTATAAGGAGTTGCCCATCACGCTCAGAATGAGTTCCATACATCTCGCCCTGGCTTTCTGGAAAAGCTGCCCGACCTTTCCCCTGCCTACTTCTCGCCCCACAATTCATCAGCTCTGGCCACCGCAGGACCTTTGCACTTGCTCTTCCGAAGCCTAGACTGCTTTGCCCAGATCTCTGTTAGCTTCAGATGTCACTTCCCAGAGGCCCTCCCTGACGGCAGTCCTGATCCCCAGGCTCGGTGACAGTCACGTCACCCATCTCTGTCCCCTAAATGGCACCACCTCTCCCTGTTGATTGGTTCCTCATGTAATGTCTACCAGCTCTGCCCCTTCCTGCTATGTGAGCTCAGGCAAGTCACTGCACCTCTCTGGGCCTCGGAGCCCTCCACTGTAAAAGGGGGTTCACAACAGAACCTACCTCTCAGAATTATCATCAATGTGAAAAGAAAAAGACGTGTGTAAAATGCTTAGAAAAACGTCCGCCATGTAGGACGCGCTCTGTAAACATTGTCTTATTTATATGATCATTACGGGGTGCATGAGACAAAAAAAGAGGCCCTGGTTGAGAATCAGTTTACTCTAACCTGCATTGTTTTGTTTTTTTTCTTTTGGTAACAGCTTGATTGAGAAAGAATTCGGTTACCGTAAAATCCGCCCTTTTAAAGTATTCACATCAAGGTTTCTAGTATATTCGGCACTGCCTACGTTTAGAACATTTCCATCCCACTGAAAGAAAGCCCCTCAGCAGCCACGCCCTCACCACCCTCCCCCAGGGCCCTGACAACCACTCACTGACATCATCAACTGCCATCACTTTACAGACGGGGAAACTGAGGCTCAGACAAGGGCAGTGACTTGTCCAGGGTTACTAGGCAGAGCCTCAGGACTCAGAACCCTGGCTCCCGTGTTCCTCCACGGCACCGCCTCCCTCCAACTCAGAAGCCCCCCCGCCCCCACGCATCCACACATGCACACCCCAAGCCTCCCTGCTCTGCACCCCTGTCCCCTGAGGTACTCTCCCCAGGGCTTCACTCACGGAGTCCGATCTTGGCCAAGTGCAACCGGTTGACCCAGGAGATCTTGCTCAGGGGGTTGGGAGTGATGAAGACCACCATGAAGCTGATGGGGCGGCCGGACCTGCGGCGAGAGGGCGAGGAGCGTGAGCGCCCAGAACAAGCGCCTGGTTCTTCCCTCAACCACGGGCACCGGCTGTGGTGCCAGCTCAGCTCAGAGTATCAAAGCGGGGCCAGAAAGCCTGGTGGCCCCCCCAAAGCCTCCATCCCCTGGGGGAAGAGTCCCTCCACCCACCGTGACCCCAGAATGGAGGTCCCTCCCTAAAGCCACCAGGCCACGCTCCCCAGCCCAGCCCCTGGCCCCTGGGCTTGGTGCCTAGCGACTCGAGAGGCCAGGGCTCCCCGGTCAGCTTTCCACGGGCCTCGTCAGACACACGTACACATCCGACCGGGAGCGTCTGCAGGGAGGAACGGGCTCCCGCGGGCCTGCTCCCAGCACCTGGCACAGGACAGCTGCTCAGCAAAGACTTGCAGCATGGACACATGAGTGAATGGGCTTGTGACAGGCTTGGGCAGCTAGAGGTCACTGTTGTCACACTACTGTCCTCTCACCTTGGAGCAGCGGGGCCCCTCAGGGTCCTCTGGGGTCTGTTTTCCACCGGGCGGCGGGGAGGGGGGCCATCCCAGGGGGCGGGCAGGGCCAGTGTCACTAACTCTCCCAAGGGAGAAAGGGGTACAGGGGCGGGAAGGGGCTGTGTGAGGCCCCCTCAGCAGGGGAATGGCACATTGGTGGGTTGGGATTCCAGCTCAGAGCCCTGCCTCTCTGTCTCTGAGACTCCAGCCTGGAGCCTTGTGTCTTGGGCTCCTGGGCTTAGGGCCCTGCCTCAAACACCAGTGCTCCGATCTTCCCGGCCCTGAAGCCAGGGTGCCTGTAACACTCTGCCCCCCACCGTCCCCCCATCCTTGAGGTCAAACCTGGGCGGTGAGCCACCGCACTGCACCAGCCTAGGCTTCAGGTCAGAGCCCAGAACCTACTCCGTGGCCGGGGGGGGGGGGGGGGGGCACTATCCGACAACCCCTGGAGCCTCACCGCCCTCATCTGCAAACTGGGGCTCAGAGCTAGCCTTCCCTATCTCTGCTAGACCTGTCATCAATTCCACAAACATCAGCTGAGGGTCTACGATGGAGCACAAGTGCCAGGGTGGGCATTTGGGGGTAGGGGTCATGCTGGGGGGAGGCTGGGTCCGTGAGGAGACCCAAGGCCTGTTCCCAGGGCTCTGCACCATCTGGAGTGAGGGAAAAGGTCACAGCACAAATGGAACCAACCAATAGCAGAGCATCTCCTAACAGAGGATAGGCTTAAGTCAAGTATGAACCAGTCACTCATTCATTCATTCATTCATTCATTCAATGGCTAATGAGCTGTGCTGGGCAGGGCCCACAGTGTGTATACACCCACGCCCATGACCACACTGATGAATGGGTCCGCTCCAGGTGCCCTCTCTCCGCGTCCCCCCACCACCCGTCAGCGGTGGCCGCTCCCCATCTCACTTGTCAGGTTTTCCAGGAAGCAGGAGCCTGAGACGACACTTGTTGGCCGAGTGGATCTCCTCCTCTTTTACCCGCATTAGCCTCTGCAGGGCCAGGCACCAGTCTTGAGCCACAGTCATGTTTAGGTTCTAGGGTTGAGGAGGCCAGTGAGATCACCACCCGGCCTGCTGGCTCCCCCAGAGCCACACAGGATCCTCGAGCATCTGGGGGGACCCCGGGGGGAGAGGAGCTGGGGAGGTCCGGGAGCTCAGCAGGGACCCCTGGCTCAGCCACAGGAGGCGGCCGGCTCCCTGGGCTGCAGGCCCACAGCAGGCTTCCCAGCCCTCGTTCAGACCCCAGCTGGTACCCCTCCTGTGAGAGGGACAACCTCCCAGCCAGCCTCCTCTCCAGCTTTGGGGTGAGGTCCAGGAAGGGGTTGCGAGACTGACTGGTCAGTGTGCAGAGAACAAAACAATCACCACACAGCCAGACCCCACTTAACCCAAATCAGAGCTTCACCCCCGAACCAGAGGCCGCATACCAGACATCTAGGTAGCAGTGGGGAGTTCTAGCTGCTCCTCCTGCCTGTGGGATTCAGGAGCCAGGAGCACGCCTGGGGCCTGGGCTAAGACAGGAGCCCTCTCCCACTCCGCCTGCTGATCTGGGCATTGCCCGAGGGAGGAGCCCAGAGCCCAACAAAGCCGGGCCAGGGCTGGATACCTGGTAGGTGCCGTGCAGCGTGCTGATGAGGAAGGTTATCTGCTCGACCACAGCCAGATCTTTCTGCAGGTCCTGCAGCTCCTGGAAGAGGCGCGGGGGGCCGAAATACACCTTATCTGGACAGAGAAGAGACCCAACTCAACTTCAGGGGTGGAGGAGGGGCTAACGAGGACCCAAGCATCCATTTACTGCATAAAAGAAGACCTGTCGCCCTGGAGATACGGCACTACAGACACAGAAGGAGACATTACCAGGCTCTTGCCCTGGTGGAGTTCCTAGTCGGGGTGGGGGGGGAGGAGGCCCAGATCCAGTCACAGGTAGTCCAGCATCTGGGGTCCAGGCCACTCTCAAAGGGTCACAGGAGGCCAGAAGACTAAGAACCAACTGTGCATGCAAGAAGTGAGGAACCTTCACAGGGCCAGGCGTGTGGTGGGCTTGCTGCCATAAAGGAGAACAGCATATGCAAAGCACTGTGGCTTGAGGAAGCCCACGAACAGCAAGGTGTTCACAGATGTACTAAGGACCTACTATGTGCCAGGTTCTATTCCAGGTGTTGGAGAGACAGCTGTAAACAAGACAGAAAGGATCCCTGTTCTTACGGAGCTTATGACCTGGATGGGGGAGACAGGGGCATCAGTCAATTAAGAACCACAACAGATGAAAGGCACTAGGGAGAAAGATACCAGGGCAAGGGCACAGTGAGGGTGCCCGGATCTCTGGGGATGATACAAATGTAGCACTGGGGGCATGGGAGATGAGCAGCAAGAGACAGAGCAGGAAGGAGCAGCAGGCCAGGAGGGAAAGTCCTTGAATGCCGTGCTAGGGAATTTGGGCTGTATTCTCTAGGCCAAGGTCTCTCGAGCTGGGGTCTTATGGAACCCTGGAGGAGGGCTTATTTGGGGTTTTCATTTAGAAGAGTATCTGGAGAACAGATGTACATCCTGAGTCACCTGGATAGAATGACTTTCAGGCCATGTTTTGCTGCATGGTGTCAGGGCTTCCATGGGCTCTGGTAATGAGCACGAGTACCTCAGCTGTCACCAGGTAATGAGCAGGGAGCAAGGGGAGACCTGGCAGAGAAGTGATGCACTCACACCAAAAGAGCAAAGACAGACTCTGCAGTGAGCCCAGTGGGTAAGCTGGTGGGCAACGCGGGTCACCACAGGGCACCCTAAGGGAGGGGTACAGAGATCTCAAAAGAACCTGCCCCAGAAGAGGCCCACAGCCACATCGTGAGCAACTGGGTTCCAGCAAAACAACATCATCCATCACATTAAATGAATGCTGTTAATTTGAATTTTATTGTTTTGTAGCTTCTTTTTTATCCCACTTGTGATTTTGTTTTGTTTTTACGGTTGTTCAAGGGATATAAGCATCACGAGTTTTTCATACCTAGTCTTGTATTTGCACATATTCAAATAACAATGTGATAAAAAATCATTCAAGGCCAACTAGGGTTCAACAAGAATGCTTTCTTTTCCCCTTGAAGGGAGTCAGGCCACGTAGTACTCTCGTTTGAGAAACGTGGCAGTGAAGGAGGGGCCCCAAGGTGGTTGGGAGCAGTAAGGTGGAGTCAAGCTAGGGCCGAAGGCGCCTCTGGGGAAGACAAATGGGGCCCTTCGCTGGGGGCTTCTGGAAACCGCAAAATAGCCCTTCCTGCTCACAGACCCAGGGGAAGGGGCCCAGTACTTGGGAGTAGGCACAGCCGGCCAGCCCCACCCTCCGAGGGCAACAGGGCATGGTGCCACAACCCTCTCAGTTGCCAGAATTGCCCGAGACCCAGGGAGGTACCCTCCCAGGTCAGGCCCTGGACAGAGCCGAGCCGGTGGGCAGGTGGACATGGAAGCCAGAGCCTGTGGAAGGGACCTCCGGCCCAGCTCCTTCCTGCCAGCCCTGCAGCTCAGCACCCTCCCTTCATTCAACAAACAGCTGTTAACATCCCCTGCAAACCAGGCCCTGAAGGAGGGCTGCTGCCGAACCCTCCCAGGGAAGGTGACCATAGGACTGGGCCTTGAGAGCCCAGGATTGGGGGGGGTGCTGGCCCAGTCCAAAGGAATCAGGAAAGGCTTCTCTGCAGAAGTGTCATCTGAGCTAAGATGAGTAAGTAGGATAGCAAAAGAGTCTGCAGAAGGGTGGAGGCTGGGAGAAGGTCCTGGGGCAGGAGGGGGCTCTGCCCCTCAGGAACTGAGAGGCCGGTGTGGCCAGCCTGGGGAGGGCGGGGCGGGTGGGCGCCCCCCGCAGTGGTGTGAGGGGGCCAACGAAGACCTGGGACTTTACCCTGAGAGCAAGGAGAAGCCACGGGTGGGTTCGGGGTGGAGGGTGACACACACACAGACCTGATCTGCATTTGGATGGAGGATGGACAGGAAGGGGGCAAAGGCACAGGGAAGGCCCGCAGCCAGGAAGCTCCTGCACCAGACCGGGTCTGATGGTGGCGGCCCCCGCGGAGATGAACGGAGGTGCACCACTGAGAGGCTGCCCGGCGCCACTCCCTCCGCATTCTCATTCCTCTCGTGCCCAAAAAGTCGGAGCCACACAGCCCTGAGCCTGGTCCCTGAGGGTCAAGGAGCCTACTGGAGTATCACCTGGGCCCCTCACTGCACAGAGAGGGAAACTGAAGCCCAGAGAGGAGGGCCATCCACTGAGGTCCCGTAGGAGGCAGGCAATGGTCAAGCAGGAACTGAAGTCCCACTTTGGAACTCAAAGGCATTGTGCATGCACGCTCGTGTAGGCACACAGGTGCACAAGGGTATAGGGGTGGGAGGGGCAGGGACAGTGTCCCGCGCAAGAGATGGAGGTGTGACTCTGGAACGTGCACGAGCAGCTGGGGGTCTGGGTGTGCGTCTGTGTGTAGTGTGGGGCTGCAAACCAGCCAGAGCCTCTTGGCCAGGTGGCCCATCGGTCTGGGGTTCCCAGACAAGGACCACAGGCCTGTGCAGGTGCCCCTCCGGCAGCAGCGGGGTGGGTACTCACTCTGGGCCTGGCCCACGGCGGAAGCCTTCTTGGCGCCAGCATGCTGGATGAGCACGTTGTCCTTGTCGTAGGAGCCGCTCTCCTGGCCCACCTCCACCACCTGCACCTGGGGCAGCGCCGTGTTCCACTTCACCACGTACTTGGGCCCGAGGGGCACCAGGCTGCTGATCTCCAGCTGGCCCCTGCCAGGACAGATAGGAGGAAGCCCTGGAGAGCCCGCAGCAGCCCAGGCACAGGGCCAGCCCAGAGCACACTCCTCAGCACACCAGCTCAGCCAGGCCCCTTGCAACACAAGCACCAGACCTCGGGCCAAAACCAAGCTAGGCAGAGCAGAGAGCCATCAATGAGGCAGAAGCCCTGGGGTGCCCAGGCCCCAGCCCAGATCCAAAATCACATGCCCCGAGGCCCCGAGCCCCCAAACCCCTACCTGTGGTTGGCAGGCCTGAGGAAAAAGACAAAATGGAAAGGAAGGTCATTCCTGTTATTGAGTGATTTCTAGGGGGCTGAGACCAATGGGGGCCAGCCACGGGGCTGGGCCAGGTGTAGGCATCAGGGACCATAGGAGGGCCTTCTCCCCGAGCAGGCCGCTGGCCTCCAATCACCTGCGATTCCCACAGCGGCCCTGCTAGGAAGCTTGTATTATTCCAGACAAGGACACCAACAATCAGACAGGTCACATGACTTGCGCCGAATCACCTAAGCTGATCCCCCAACCCCCTCTCCCCAAAGTGGGCCACTAGCATCCCCATCACAGCTCACACCAGGCTAGGCCCTGAGCAGCAGGGGGCAGAGCAGGTGTTCATCAAATATGGTGCCTTAAAAATCACAGTGCTGAATCAGGGAGGGAGGGAGGGAACGAGATAGCCTTAAGCACCATCACACTGATCTGGGACACAAGCTTCCTTGTCTGAGTCCCCTATCAGTGCCGGGTCTCCTCCAGACCTGTGAACTGACATAAAGTAAGGGCCCAATAAGTCTTTGATGGGTGGGTGGATGGATAGATGGATGGATGGATGGATGGGTGGGTGGATGGATGGATGGGTGGGTGGGTGGGTGGATGGATGGGTGGG